GTGGTCACTGTAATATGTCTGATGCACTAACTGCGCCGGCGCAGCAATGCTCGCGCTCGTAATGAAGACAAACACGTCTGCGTCTGTCATTAGCAAAGCCTTGAGCTTTCAGCTTTGCCTTAAGATTTGTGATTTGTGTCCTGTAGGCTGGAGATTATTTTTTGTTATTTTAAATTGCTTTAGAAAAAAAGTTAAACGACTGATTGCTTTAATTATAATCACTGGTAAAAATATTATAATGTACATATTTCATTCACTCATTAAGTAGTTTAGATTTTTATTACCGTAAAATCTCAAGATATTAGTAGGGTGACAACTTAAGATATTAAAAACCAGGATTTCTAGGTTAAGATTTATGTTAATTTTCATTTATTGTTTATCATTGCATTTGTAACTCATTAATACTGTAATTAAGCAAATGTAATTGGACTTGTAACTGCGATAGATATAGGAATATCCACAATTTTTACCTTAAGATGGTGTATCTAGAAATATATTTATCGTTCTGACAACTAGAAGAACAATGAGAGAGATCGATGCGCGTGGGCAAGGCGCCGTGTTACTGCCACAAGGTTCCATCTAGTATGACGCATCATTCAAGATGCGACTCTGTAACATTTGTACGTCGTGCCCTCGCTTCCTGGACCCATTATTTAGTTACACGTAACGATTATTCCGCGCCATTGGTTTCGTTAATAATTCGTAAAACCTCGAGTCAATGTTTGTCTTATTTATGATGTTTGCTTACTTATCGAAGTAATAAAAATAGAGACCTTCTAACCTTGACAAGATTTGGTAGATTTTGTAAGACCTGGTCTACGATGCTGCGTAACTATGATTTTAAATAAATCACCCTTTCTGTCTGTAGTTACGATTTCTAATTATCTTTTCGGGTCCTGGCATATATATTCTTACTAATATTATAAATGTGAAAGTTTAGATGTATGGATAGATGGATGCTTATTAGAGTTTGTAGCCTAAACGGCTGAACGTATCTCGATGAAATTAGGCATAGACGTAGAGGATATTCTGAAGAACACATAGGCTCACTTTTGTTTTTTAGAAAACCGCGCGGACAGAGCCGCGGGCGAAAGCTAGTCTATGATAAGCTTTAAAATAAACTTCTGTTTCATTTCAATATTATTTGAATACATTTGTTTCGCTAGCTCTACTATCTGCGGCTTTGATTGAATGGATTGTCGATCTATCTGTCCTGTTTTGGATTAGCAATATAGAAGTAAATGAATCACTTTCATAGTAATTTACGTCACGTTTGTGATGTCAACTCGCCATCATTTCGACTTAATTTCAATACTAATCTTACAAAAGTAATATATTTGTCGCTACAAATATTCTTTAGAAACACTTCGCTCAAGACACAAATATTAAGAATAAAATATATTAAGAACTTAATAATCTGAATATATTAAGTCATTTCAAATAACATAAAACCGTAACGAGTAACAAAAATAAATTTTATAACTTTTAAAGTGTAGGCAAACGAGTTTTGAAACTGTGTCGAATTTAATGCAATGTAATTCCCGGGATCAATATATATTTGTGGAATATAACAACGATTGTATTGTGAACTTATTTTTTTATGATTTGCAATAAAATGCCTAATTTAAAAAGTGTTTTTTTTTTATTGTTATAATGTATTTACATCAATGGATACTTTACGTTTGTCTATATCTTTATCTATACTAATTATAAAGAGGAAAGATTTGTATTTTTGTATGTATTTGATTCGCGCAAAAACTACTGGGCCGATTTTAACAATTCTTTCACCATTAGAAAGGTAATTTATCTGTGAGTAACATGGGTCATATTTTTGAATTGCACGCGGGAGAAATCGCGAGAATCAGCTAGTTATATAATAAACCAACTAGAAAATAAATTATAACATTTTTATTATTTTAATAGAATGGCTGAAAGCTGATGCCATAATTTGCGGTATTTGAATCAACGACCATTTCCGATGACCGTCCCTTAAAACATTAAGCTAAGGGCGTTACGTGTAAATTTTGCCACTAAATCACATATGTTAAAAAAATCTTTAAAGGTATGTTTTTATAGTAATAAAGTATACTTTAAAAAAGTTTGGTACAATTTGGCGTCATATGCATATTGCCTATTGTACCATATTAAAAGTTTTGATTACACTTACACGAATATTGGAAAAGGACGGAAAAAGACTTTACAACACCTTTATAAGTACCGTATATGATATAGGCTGATGACGGCACGATCTCGATGAACATAATATTAAGAAGTATAATTTCTAGGATGTTTGAATTGTACTGTTGCAATTAGAATGTTTTTCGATGAGTTAACAATATACGATTAGAATTATTTTGTTTCCTATGCGTTGAAAGTGCCACGGATTCGAACCCGTAACGGGTTTTCAACCGAACCATTTCTGCAAACGAACGTAATATAATATTTCTTCTATTATAAATATAATCTATAGAATATAAAGTGGAGCTTTTTAATTCTTAAATAATAAACAAATGAAAATTCACAACGAAAACAATTTATTTTATAAAAAAAATGTATAAATTAATAAAATCTTCAAAAAAATATAATGCGATAGACTATGAAATAAAATTAATTAATAATATGGCAAACGTACTGTATGGGTACCCTAGCAAGTCCGGCACAACACGGCACTGTCACGCGAAAGTCCTGTCCACGTCCACGTAGTCGAACTCCGCGAAGAACGTGTCGAAGGGCGAGAGCGAATCCTCCGCGAACTCTGAGGGCGTTTCCTGCCCTGTGGAGAACTCTGAGAGGTCCGAGCAGAGAGGTGACGGCCACCGGTCCGGTCTGGTCTCCGTCTCACGGTCCGTACTTGAATCTGAAGGCCAACACTCCGGTCTGCTCTCACTCTCGCGGTCCGGACTGGGGTCCCTGAGAGCTGATGAGAGAGCGGTGATGTACCGCATTGCGAGCCTCAAAGTGGTGATCTTGGTAAGCTTCTCGCAGGGCACCGGCGTGCCGGTGATAGCTGCAGCGGGGACAGCCTGCCGTAGAGTCTCAAAAGCACGGTTGATCTCCCTCATTCGACTACGTTCTCTCGCATTTGCGGTCTTCCTGCGGTACTTGCTGAGAGGTTGCGGAGGGCGGCGAGCCCGGGGCTCGCGGGCGCGCGCGGCCCGCGGCCGTAACTGGTACTTGTCGTGATCTGGCATCGAGTGCCGCCGCACTACTGGCCACTGCCGCACAGCAATGCCGCACAGCACGGCCGCCCCGCACTCGACGCCCGCGCACCAAAATTACGCTCACCCCGCCCACTTACACTTAAGTAAGCTCAATGCGATAAGCGCTTAAGTACGGAGCTTAATTCTAACGAGGTATAGAGGGAAAATTATCGATATAACCTAATGCTTATGCAATGGTCAGATGATAAGTGTGTTTTATTTCTTATCATTAATTTACTCGCTTGTAATTTTTTGTTTGCTTTAAATTACTTGAACTAAATATTATTATAATGCATTATTTCAAAGACATAAACTAAAAAAAACAGTACTTATAATAAATTGAAGTATGTTATTGTTCCCATATCACTTATGTAGATAATAGTACAGTTAACAATGAATGAAAAGGCGGTAAAGCGTGGAGTGAGGTCGTTTTGATTGGATTAGCATATTGGTTTCGGCATTTCCGTTCAGCGTGTGCTTTGATAGGTAATTGTTGGCTTACCTTGCCTTACGTTTGCTTGTTAGTGTGGGCGTGTGCTGTGCTAAGACAGCGCGTAGGTGACAAAACGATCGTTATTATGTTTTGTTGATAAGAACTTCCGCTAAATAAGTTCATACTGTCAATTATGTTATACCGGAATATATAATAACATAATATAACAAACAAAGGGGTCCAAAAATAGCAATAAAGGGTAAAATAACATCAAAACATTGTAAGGTGCAGTCCTGACTTTCTTTTTTTTTCTCGTGCGTGTCCTTAGCACGTTCTTCTGTGCCATGCAGCCACTAAACAGGAAGGACACAAAAAAATAAAATGTAGCAAAAGTTTTTGGGCCAATCTTTACTAGTTAGAAATACCTAATTGTTGCACATATTTTTAAATCCTGTTGTATTACGGTATTTATAATCAAATTTAACTTGTATTAAAGTGTAACAGATTATCCAATTCCATCAACTATTGGGCTAAGTATTAATTGACCTTGGTATCTGGATCGCGTGGGCTCGCCCCGTCTCCCGTGTAGGCGACAGAAGTGTTGCAAAGTGACGATAGTATCATAAATCCAACAGATTATATCCCGCGTTTCTCGTTATCTAAATAAGGACCCGTTGTCTGATCTTTATGGCCGCCATCCTAACATTACGGGACCAGTTTGTTGTACCGATAAGGTTAAAATGTTAAATAACCTTACATACATTGTTTTTCAGCTTTTAAGTATCAGTTGACATTTATATTTATTGACAAATTTTTAGACACGTAGAATTTTCAATCTGTACCCGGATTCTTTTATTCCTGTCGCCTGGCTGCGGGGTTTTTTACATTTCATTTTTGATATTTTAAAAATAAAAGTAACTTTTTTAATTTGTACATGATATAGTTAAAGGCATTCGCCTATTTAGGTACTAAAAATAAACACTGCAAAACTTGTTACATTAATTTTGAATCATTATTTTTTCACCTAAATATTTAAATGTGTAATCGTAATATTATTACTTAAAATTTATACGTCAGTAAACAAAAATGTTACATTACGCAGATTTGTTTTTTTTTTTTAATTTCACTTTTCCTTTGTTATATTTTATTCGTCCTGCTTGATTTAGAATTTCTCATTTTTTAGTGTAAATAACTTTAATTTGTAGATCTAATTTATATTATATTTAACAGAAAAAATAATTTTAAGTATTGTCGAAGATTGTAACATAGCTCGATTTTGTTTTTTTTTTATATTCTTATGACGGAACGTTTGGGCGGGAAAGTGAGTGCTTTTTCTAACATCGTTTTTGTCGTAACAGTTTTGTTTTTCTGTCGAAAATGAGCAGCAACGTGGAACTGCAATATAAATTATTGCTATACCTGGACAAAAGGCGTGTTTTAACTGAAATGGCTAACAGCTGTGAGTCGTTCTTAGACCAATGTGTTGACAAAACCACGAACAAATTTCCTCCGCTGCGGCATCTACTTGAAATCGACGTCATGGACTTGTACAACGATTTTCCCGAGCTTGGGGACTTTTTAATACAAAAACCTTTGCAATTTCAACATATTTGCAACAAGATATTATTTGCTTGCATCAATTCTATTGATAGTGAAAATAATAACATTCAACTAATGCAAGTAGCAACAATTCTTAGACTCAAATGTATACCACAGGTATTATCTAATGAGAAGAAACCATATTATGAAGGAATTATGCTCCGAAAAGGTTTACTGCTTGATATTTCAAAACCCAATTCTTACGTCTTCCATACAGTTTGGTCATGTCCTGAAGGATGTGAGGGAAACGAAGTCATTCTACAATTCATACCAAAAACACCACCAAAATGTTACGTCTGTCGAAGCGTTCTGTTTGAAAACAGTGGCTTACGAAGATGCGGTGAAAAAGTAAATGCCACTTTCCTATCGAATGAACTTTTGCCTAGAAAATATAACATTGTTGACGATTTAATATCGAAATTGAACATAGGAAATACGTACAATATTCACGTTGTGGTTTTGAAGAGCATAAAAATTGTCTGGTCAGTGGAAGAAAGCGTTACTTTGCCTGCACCAATGACTTATCCAATTCCGGAAGATATTGTACAGTTGTTTGAAACGTGTGAAGGTGTCCCTTGGAAGTTTATTTACTGCCTCGCTTGCTTGATAGGTGTCCGTGTGTGTCCATTACATTGTTACATGCACGTTAAAATCAATTTATTGCTCAGTTTAGTCAGCGTTAAAGCTAATTTATTAATAGGGTCTTCTATAATTAATATTTTAGTCACAGGTCACGAAACTAAATATGTATCGGAGATAATAACTGCAGCTATAAAGTTTGCTAATAGGTCGGTGTATTTAGGTACGAATTCTGACGTCCAGTTATCAATGATCGGTGGATCCGGTGGAATTTGCATTCTACCTTTATCTCTGTATCGATCTAATCAGAAACAATTAGCGTTTATTCTTAAAACTTTAGAAACCGGTGTTATTAGTATGGATAATAGTGAAATTAAATCAAAATGCGCCGTCTGGGGTTTATCTAATGATTCTAAGACACCTTTTAATAATTTATCGAGTGTATTCGATATTGTTTGTCGAAATTACGGTCAAGACTTCGATGACGTAGCAGAATTTATGCTTAAAGGTGCTTTAGAACGAGAGAAAATAACTGAAAACGAGGTTAAAGCTTTGAATGATCTTATGGTTTATATTAATTTAATTGCTGGAATTAATGTAAGTTTAGACAAATCTGCAGAAAGTCTATTAAAGAGTTACTTTCTATCTGCGAGAAGGGAGAGTACTAAAGTAGCAACAATCGGGAGTATAGGTGCTTTGGTAACAGTCTCTCTAACTTCGGCCAGACTTTGTCGTAGATCTGTGGCGACAATCGATGACGCATTATTTGCTATATGGTTGCATGTTTGTGGAAGTCCTCATCCTAGATTTGCACCAGAAGAATATCTTCAAACACCACCAAGTATACACGAATTAGAGGAAAATATGACTAAATTTAAAGACTGGCTAGAACAATTCACAGGAATTAATTTTACTTAATGTAATACTTTGTTTGACAATAAAAAAATATTCTCGTTTTAAAATTTCTTTAATTTCAATTGTATAATAAGCATTATTTGAACAAATAAAAAAAATATAATTTTCTCAAACGACTTCCAATGACTAGAAATAAACTGCACACAAGAAACAAAAAAACATAAAAAAGTACATTAAATTTGACAATTTAAAAACAAATGCATATCTCTTAAATACTAATGTAAGGCACATTTTAAATTCTTTGGGTATTTAAGTTTTTTCAAACACTATCTTCATTTAAGAAGCTAAAATCAAAAGTGGATTTTTGTAAGGACGAATTCTGCGAGTTTAATCTTTCGCAAAGACTTGCATGATTTTTTCTTATCTTCAAACTTTCTTGAATAAGAGATTTAAGCTGTGAATCCTCTCTATGAGGGATATAATGACTCGACACAGGTGCTCCGATTTTAAAATCTCTTTTTTGGAAAGAAACCACACTATAAGGTAGATCAGATATATCTCCTGCATCTCTTACAACAAGACTGATCGTAGACCACATACAAGAGGTCAAATCATCCGTCAAAGTTGTTAAACCAAAGGATATTTTGTCCGCATTCTCAGCCGCATTTGTTATAACATCGTCAATTTTAGACAACTCCAAAGAGATATCTTTTAATTTAAGAATAAAAGAATGATTCTGCATTTCTATAAGTATTTTACTTCTTAGTTTAAGACAGTCATAAGATGCTCGTACTATATCAGAAACATTATAGTGTTGACTTTTATTATCTTTTGCTCGATTCTCACTGTAAAATTCACTCTTTTTAAATGCATTGTATGCACGCATAGCGTTAGTAACTATAGTTGTGAAGTTATATTTCGAAACAAAGTTGTTAAGATCAGCAGAAGTTGCTTCGTTACTTCTTCTGACAGCAGACTGCAATCTAACTGATATTTGTGCCCAAGCAGTCTCTAATTTGTCACTTTTCTCCGACTGATCGTTGACATCTTTGAATATTTTCTCAAAACCGCCTAGGAAATTAGTACCGATGCTGTTCTCTTTCAAATGCTCCACATGTTTCGCTCCAACTTCAGTCATCTTTATAATAATCTCTTTCTGTGCAAGAAGCTTCCCTAAGGCTTTATCTACAGAGTTATGTTTCACAAGAAGCTGTTTACTTTTATGTTTTAGAGATTCAGCCCTAGCGAACAATCCATTTATAAGACTGTCATACATTTTCAATTGAGAAAGAATGAAATAAAGCCCATTTCTGTATAAGTTTTGGCTGTTTTTGTAATTGTACAGAGCTTTAGGATGTTCAAGGCATCTTTTAACAGTAATTGGTACTACAGGTTCAATATTATCATCAATAATTGTTTTTTTTCCATATGCATATAACATAGGAGTTGCACTGTCATTCCAGTATTTAGCTACTTGGTCATTATTTTCAAGTTCAATGTATGTTGTGGTTGAAATTATTGTAAGTTCTCCAGCAGGAATTTTCGTATCCACACTAATCCAAGCTTTTAGATTTTCTACATTTGTGGAGTCATTTATTTCATAAGCTAGATTTGATAGTGTTGTCACAGAGAATATATGAATAATTTTCTTAGCTAATATAGCCTCAAGTAGATCAAATATGACAACTTTACTGGCAGCTTCCTTTTCCTCGGATGGTATATTAAATGTAACTTTTGAAGGTGCATCCCTGCCTCGTAGTCTAGGATCCCACTCTAACGCAACTTGCAACCATTTTTCCATTAATGTTTTTAATGGTTTTGATATGTGATTTTCTGAAAATATTTCATTTGAATACTCTATATCCTCATGAAATGTTTCATACACACATATATGTTCATGGGATTTTTTCTTAACATGGGGCATCCATTGGACTGGTGCCAAGTATGGAAGAAATGGTCTAACTCCACATATAATCTCAAAAGCAAGAAGACCGAATGACCAAAAATCCACAGAGTTGCTATATGTCTTACTATAGAAAATTTCCGGTGCAAGATATTGCAATGTACCAACAAAACTAGCACATACAGAGTTTGAATCTATTTCTTTGGCATATCCTAAATCTATAAGTTTATAAGCAATTTTCTTCTGCCCTAGGTTATTATTTGAATTATCCAATATATGCAGTACTATATTCTCAGGTTTTAGGTCACGATGCGTAATTTTGTTCGTGTGCAAAAATTGCATTGCGTTTCTTATATCGCTTAGAATTTGTCGCACTTGGAACTCCTTTAAGCCGCCACAAGCGTCGGGATTATTCAAAACTTGTCGTAAATCACCTCCACTGCAGTATTCCATACAAAGGATCGGCAATTTCGATGGATTAGCCCGCTCTAAGCCTACAAGAAATTCTGGCGGTAAATTTTTCGTTCCGACTATATTCGGATTGTTGCAGCATTGCAACATCTCTACCTCTTTGGTCCATCTTTCTTTGTGTTTTGCGGTCAACTCGGGGCCCCATTTACAAGTTTTTATAGCAAGTTTTTCCTCAGTCTGTTTATGTTTCCATAAGACCACAATTCCAAAACTTCCCGATCCCAAAACCCTGTCTTTTACCCAGTCACCGATAAAAACTATATCGTCCATAGCAAATGAATTTAAACACTTTTGCACTAAAGTTACAGTAGGACAATTTGTAATTTTATAAAAATAACTTGCGTTCTAATTTTTCCTTTTTCCTAACTTCGCGCAACACATCACAGCACAGATGACTTTGACATTGACAGATGTTAAGTCTCGAATCTTAATTGTTTTAGCTGAATTACTAAGAACTATCTCCGCTGTAACACGAAATCACTTTCATGGTCTTATTAAAAATTAATCAAATCCTCCAGTAGAGTTTAATTGAATAAAATGGTTTGTTGTAAATAAAATGGTAACAGAAAATTACGATAGCAAATCTTTGAATTGTTTATGACGTTGACATTGACACTTGGTGTCAAGTTTTGAAATGTCAATTTTCATTGAAAATTATTGTCTTGGTTTGTAGTTTACTTACCTCGGCTTATTTATTGTTTTAAATTCTTAATAATTGTTGTGATTGTAGTAATGACTTAATACTTTATATTTTTGTAATCGGTACGTATCTATGTTTGCTTATCAAAAATCAACCACTAATTGAAATTAGAACCAAAAACACTTCAAATAAAATATTTTATCAAACAAAGAAGAAGGTGGAAAAAGAAAAAGGAGCTTAAAAACTGATTGTAATTTCAAGAATAGAAAAATTAAAGTATTCGTCTAATTCAATTGTGAAAACGCAATAGGGAGTGTGTAAGCAAAACTTTGGGTATAATTTTTCAGCAAGAGAATCAAAATTTAATTCAAATCTTTAAAGAAAACAAACATTCTGTGGTTATATAATTTGGAATATTAATTGAGTTTAGATATAATTCACTTGATTTTTTACAGGTAGATTTAATTAATTAAAAAATTAAAAAGGTTACATAAAGTGACCAAACGGCCCCATGAGTCTACAATCTAATTATCTCCATAATTTCTTAAACACCCAACTTAAAAAATTTTGTTCACAGGAAGGAAATCTTAATGTTTGAAAATGGTGGATATATCAGTGACATGTCGAACTTGTATGAAAAATGATGATAATCTTGTGAATTTATTTGGAACTATGAAGATGGCACAAGATAGTGATATATTGTATGTTGATGCACTAAAGATAGCTTCAACATGTCAGGTAATATTTTAAATGAAATTGTTGAAACTCTTGTGAAACTTATGCACATGAATGTTATCACTTTTAATTACTTTTTAAACTATTTTAAACTGTAATCTAGCTCTGCTACAATTTTCTTAAGAATCTGTTAAGCCATTTTGAAGTTCATGACATCAAAGATCAATTTAAAATTAGCTGGTGTTTCTTTGAAAATGTTAATGTAGAAAAGAAATTTAGCAGTCTATGTGTTCTTCCAGATTATATTCTATAATTTTACCAAATTTCATCCAGAGATGGATTCTGGAGATATCTACAAAACATTCATCCATCTAAAGATTTATAATATTTCTCAAAGACCGGTAATGCCTCTGCAGTTCCTCTGGTATTGTAGATGTCCATTGGCGTCAATGAGCACCTCAGTTTCCCACAATTCTTTTGTTTGTCCCCATCTTGTATTAGTATGATATTTGTTGTGTTATGTCTAGCTTTTCCTGTCCCTCTGGGTTGCCTGTAAGAAATTGCTTATAGCAATAAGGCCGCCGTTATGCAAATTTTGTATTAGTTTAGTTTAAGTATATGTATAGTAATTATTATGCAAAAAGAATTAAATAAAAAAGTAAATACTTTTAAATTCCAGGTCACAAAAGAGGATGGTCTACCACAAAGCATTTGTATGGACTGTGCGAACATATTACGAATTTTTATAACATTTAAAGCAAACGCTTTGAAGGCTGAAGATAATTTAAAAAAGTTAATATTCCTTGATAATACATTGAAAGAGGAATTTAAAGATGAGGATGACAATTCATATGAGGAGATAAAAATCTGCGATGATTTATTCCCTAAAGTTGAACAAACCGAGGAAGATTTATATGTATGTAACATATGTCAAAAACAATATACACATCATAAGAGATATTTAAATCATCTATTGACACATGAAACGGAACGAACGGAAGTCAAAATAGAAAATGATTTTGACATCAATGGTATTGCCAATGAAACTGAGTTTTCAGATAAATACGAATGTGAGGAGTGTGATAAAACATTTACTAAAGAAAGAGCTTTAATATCACATAAAAGAAAACATAAGAGTTGTACAAAAGATGCGAAAACAGATAAGTTCGAATGTGATTATTGTCATAAGATGTTCTCTATGAAACCGTTATTAAAAAGACATTTAAAATTGCATTCTACGAATAGACCGTTTCCTTGCACACAGTGTTCCAAATCTTATACAAGGCAAGATCAACTTATGGAACATTTAAAAAAACATGATAAAGTAAAAGCGCATGTCTGTTCATACTGCAATAAAGGTTATACATTTATTTAAAACAATATTTCTATTACCTAACTAAGATTGTAGAAGATCTAGCCTTGGATGCTTCAATTCAATTGATTACACCACTTTTAAACAAAGGAATTATTCTCATATTTTAAATTTTAGTCAGACTTATGTAATTGCAAATAATATTATATTAAAATATAGTAAATCCAAAGTCTTTGACAAATGCAGTAAAATCTATCTGACAAAGGAGACCTATTTTTTTACTAGTGTTTTCAACTGTAATAGCTTTTTTTTATTTCCAGGTTTCGCTCAATTATGTAGCTTGAAGGAACATTTAAGAGTTCACACTAAAGAGGCTCCATATTTATGTTCCGAGTGCGGCAAGAGTTTTACAAATAATTCCAATCTACGTCAACATATGATACGACATTCCGGAATCAAGCCATTCTCATGTACATTTTGTCCTAAAACATTTAGTACTAAAGGTAAGAATGTTCTAGATCTAATTCAACTTAACTCTTTCTTCCTGTAGATTCTAAGTTAGGAATACATTGCCATGTAATAAGCAACTTAATTTTAATTTTGAAATATTTGATAAATATGTTGTATAGATAAAATAATTGTTGCTATAAACCAGAGTCTAAAATTAAATTTTTTTAAGATGGATCCATTTTTAAAGTGTACTGGTAATGTTTAACAAATATACCTATTTTGTTGAGTCATAATAATTTTATGGAACCAATATACTTGGTTTGTTGAACCTATACTTATTTTGTTGAACCATTATACTTACTTAGTTGAATCGTTCTACTGGTTTGAAGACCTTTGCTGAACACTCCGCAGTCTCACCACCTACTTTGAGAACAATTGCTTTTAGCACATTAATTTTTTTTCGTAACTATTCTGTAATTCCGTATAGGTCAGATGGTAAGCCACGTGGCGACGCACACGGGCGCGCACCCGCACACGTGTGACGAGTGCGGCGCCGCCTTCACTAAGCCCAACTCCCTCAAGAAGCACAAGTTCATACACAGCGACCTCAGGGCCTTCGCCTGCGACACCTGCCATAAGAGGTACTGACACTTTGTTGAACTGCATACACTAACCTTTTTTTGTATAGTTTTTATTTAGTTAAATTCAAACTTTCGTTTGAATAGTTGAGTACAATTCTAATGAGAAGTCTTAGGGCCTTCCACCACTGGCTGATAGAGGGTCAGATAACTTAAAAATATCAGGCCCTTAACAGATAAACTAAAAACCTTTATATCGCCGTAATCATGGACTTATCAAATATATTTGTGTGACCAATTTAACTATCGAGTATTTCAAAAATCCATAGACAATAGACTACATTATCAATCAGTGATGTGTAAATATAATTTCTCATATCTATACAAACAATCTTACAAATAAACGCGGTATAAAATTAAACTTAAAAATAAACTGAGTACAAGCAAATGTTAGTATAAATTTCGCTTATAGTTTATTCCTAAGTTTAACATTATACCGTGTTTATTTGTTATATGCTCTATTTCACAGTGTCTACTTAAGGGACCATTTTTTTGTTTCTAATATAAGATGGTAAACGAGCAAGTGGCCACTTGAATCCACCGAAATGGAAAGCGACTCTGCTCATATACATCCGCAATTGCAGATGCGTCGCCTACCCTTTGACGGAGGAGACGCACATAAAGAGGACATTTCCCCTTCTTATGCGTCTCCTCCACCGTCAAATCCACTTTTTCTTCCCATCCTTTTCTCTTAAGAAAAGGGAAAGGGACTAAAATGAATGTAATAGTGTACATGTAAAGTCTTAATGTCCGTTTAATATGTATTTTTAATGAAGGATGGTTCTCAAGGTTCAACTGCAAGGACCACCTGAAGCGCCACCAGCGCATCCACACCGGCGAGAAGCCCTACCGCTGCAAGTTCTGCGAGCGCGCCTTCTCGCAGAGCAACGACCTCATCAAACACATGCGCATGCACGTCGGACAGGACATCTACCAGTACGTATTTAACTGCTAGCTTCTGCCCGCGACGCCCTCCGCTTTCAAATTAAAAAAAAAACAAAGTTGACCTTTGTGTTCTAAACTATTCTCTATACATATGCCAAATTTCATCGTGTCCGTTTAGCTATTTAAGCTACAAACTAGAGTTTTGTTAGAACAAACATCCATCTAAACTTTCGCATTTATAATATTACTAAGATTACCTTTTTTTCATGTTTTGCCAAGAATTAAATAAAACTAGTAATAAATTGAGTTCGTTGATTACATATAGAATTACAAACATTTCATTCCGGCATAATTCTTAAGGGTATTTATGCGCGGACGAAGTCGCGGTCAACAGCTAGTTTTCAACAAGTTGTAACTTAACTGATCCAATATATTGATATTGCTCTCTACTTCACCCGAGTGAAATTAAAAAAAATAATAAAAAACATAGTTCATGTTACTCACAGATAACATAGCTTTTTAGAGCAGAAATAATTATTGAAATCGGCCCAGTTTTTTTAATTGTTAGTCAATACATACGAAAATGCAAATCTTTCTTCTTTAAAAGTGTTCTTAATTTTGACATTGAATATACTTGTTTTTTTTCTAGGTGTTCAGTATGTCATATGAAATTTCGTCTGATGAGAGATCTAAAAAGGCATTATCCAACACATTATATAAATGGTGGTAACACCCCCACGGTGCCAGTGGGGAATGGCATGGTGGCACCAATTATGGTACTCAAAACTGACACCGATGTGCGGAGTGTCAACCAAACTGACATCATGATAACTGTCAATGAAGGATTATCGAATGGCATTATTATAAATATACCACCGCAGGAAACTTAGTATATAAGGAAAACAAATTTTTATTTAAAAACATATATTTTTTTAAGTATGTCCAAATTTTTTTTTATATCTATGTTCAAAATTACTTTTAATTTCAACAACGTTATGCTATTTTTACAATGTGGTGTGCCGCCATGTTTGAAATTTGACATTTATAGGCTCCTACGTACACTATCGTAAGTCTCAATTTTGCGATTTACACGATATTGTGTATTTTTGAAATTAACTCGAAAAATACTGATTTGTGTGTGAATTTGAATATAACTAAGAACTGTAGATTTCATGTTTGTTGCGTAATTAAAATGTCGTGGGATCAGTGTAAAATAAGTGAATTTATAAAAAAAATCTTTAAAATTCAATTTACAATAATAATGATAAATAATAATATATTCGTTGCTGGGACATTCTTGAGAGTCGGGCCGAGTCTTCTGCATAACCGCACTCGTGGCACACGTGCCGCACTGG